TATACAGTTGGAATCAGAATTCAACCCATGTCTGATGCCACTGCTCATGCTGAATAGTTTGTGTTGCCTTCAGAAATCATCATATGCTTATCAACAAAATACTTTTGCATATATATGTTATTATTAAATCTTCATGCATCTATAAAGTAAGACCACTGTCATTCTAGTAATAAAGACCAGTATTGAAAAGTTTCTGAAAGTATTGCATGGAGTCCATTTGCATCAGAATCACTTGGGTTACTTGAGAGAGAGATGCTGACCTGGAACCCTGACTTACTAAATTTAAATCTTTTGGGGATGAGGCTCAGGAAGTTACAACTTTAGCAATATGTCAGGTGATGTTTATGTTCTCTGAAGTAGAAGCCCATTGAATTACTGAATGTTTTCCATGGGTTAAAGCGGCCAATAAATAGCTTAAAAACATTAGACATGAACCCTTTAATTGTTACAACAGCTCTTTCTAGCACTTGAAATCTCTGCCTTTATTTTACAAGTGAGGCAATAGTGGCTTAATGAAAATTGTGGCTTAGTAAATTAACAGCCACTTAGTAATAGTGGCTTAGTAAAATTTACATGAGGTCTTCTGACAGCTGTAAACATCAATATAGAACCTGAAATTATGCCATCAGTCTGAAAATATTCCCAGTGCTATCTCTAGTTTGACTAGTCCCTCACTATGGCTACCTCTCATTTTGGAGATGTGGTTCCCAAGAGCTCTTCAACATAGAATTCAATTTGCTGCTGACACGGACCTAACCTCCTTTGAAAACACATTTTATTTTCAAATATAATTTGCTTGTAAAAAAATGAACAATTCTCTTAGGGAATAAATGCCATCATAAAGCAGACCAGAATGTGGATTTGGTTGACATGCATCTTGAGAATACAGCAGCCCATTCTTACATCGATATTATTTCTGCTTACACTGTCCCAGATTTTATTTTAAGCAGTCACATCCAGAAGAGCACAAAATAAGTTACAAAACATGCCCTCTTGGAGTGGCATCCTAGTGGGTAGGAATAGACAGAAAATAAGAAAAATAAGTCAATTACTCAGTAAGCCAAAGGGCCAGTGCTTGGAGAAGAATAAATCAGGGAAAGAGAGTGGAGACTATGGGGGAGGATCATGAGGGTGTTTAGAGAAGACATGCAGAGAAAGTGTATTTTTGAGCACCATAAGGGGCTAAAAGAAAATTATAAGCAGAATGAATCAACAGTCCATTTGCATCAATATTTAATTTTGAGTATAAAATATTTTGTTGTACAAAATAGAAAAAAATGATCTATAAATGAAGCATGTGTCTGTGTGTGTGTGTGTGTGTGTGTGTGTGTGTAAGTGCTTGCAGGGAAATATAAGCATTGATAACCAAGACACCCTCTGAGAAATAAATGCCTTCTTCCTTGCAAAGCAGCTTTATTTACCTTTTCTCCCCTCTCATTATATTATTGATCATAACAAAATATCACAAACTGGTGACTTAAACAACGGAAATTTATTTCTTGCAGTTCTGGAGGCTGGAATTTCAAGATCAGGCTGTCAGAAAGGTTGAGTTCTGAAGATATTGTCTTCCTGCAGATGGCCACCTTCTCACTGTGCCCCCACATGGTAGGGAAAAAAAGAGATTACTCTCTGTTCCTCCTGTAATAAGGCCACCAATCCTGGAGGATCAGGATCCCATTCCTATGGCCTCATTTAACCTTAATTACCTTCCTTGAGCAGTATGTCCAGTCACATTGGGAGTTAGGACTTCGACATGTAAATTTGGGAGGGATACAATTCAGACCATAGCATACATTCACCTCAGAATTCTAATGAACCCTAGAAAATATATATATAAATTATTTAGTATAGTTCCTAGTAGCTTAAGACCCATATATCTTCTCTCATTTTTCCTTCTCCACCTTCATTTCATTATTAGTGATTTCATTAACAAGAATTAAACCCAATCTGATCCAATCAATGACTTTGTGGATGAACTGGGTTTCCCAGAAATGATATAAGCCATGAGTCCCTCAGGTACCTCAGAAATATAATACAGAGAGTGAGCTCAGTGACAACATTAATGTCCCCAGTATCTACAGTTTCGATTTCATTGTAGAACTATGAGTGTTACAGGTACATGTCTGATCACAGAGCAGGGGTACAGTAGACTCTTTATGCATTCATTATTCAAGTTGGCTATGCATGCAATGATTTGGACAGTGCTAGTTGCTTCCCCTAACCTCACCTAGTTTTTACCACATCACCTGAAGTTTCAGTTTCTTAATGTTGGTCAGATATATGCCATTATCTCTGAATGGTATTAAAGGCAAGGTGACAGACACAGAGATAGCTACCTTGGTAAAAAAAAAAAAAAAATATATATATATATATTACTTATAATAAAAAGGGAGGGCGTATCACATAGGACCACATGGGAACTGAAAAATAATTTGTCCAAAAGCAGACAAAAAAAGAAACCCAATCCCTTTATTGTAGTTTCTATGTGAAGGAATGGAAAAGGCAGGGTAGGTAAGCTGGACCACATTTGGGGTTGAATAATTTGAATATTTGCCACAAGCTCTGGACTATAGTGTGGTCTCCCATTGTCAGGTATGTGGCCCTAGAGTGATTCAGGGCAGGGAAAATGTTGTTTGATTGTATGCGGGAATAAGATAGGGGACGTGGCTTTGGGTTGATTGGTTACCATATAAAGGCATCCTCTTGTTGGCAACCATGCTGATTTTAATATCTAGGGATTAGCTAGCCCTGGGTGGAGCAGTATAGAAAATTAGCAAGGTCTCAAATATGTTAAAATACTATGTATCCAGAAAAATCTTTTAAAAATTATTCATTGTAATTCCAACATTCTGAGCCTACTCCAAGAAATTCTGTGTGTTCTCATCTAACCTCACTGCTACTGTTTTCTCAAATACGTTCTGTACAGCAGGCATTGTTGGGAGCAGAAAAGAAATGAAGGCAAGATCACATTGACCATGCAAATCTTTGCAAGGAGTTTTGCTTTTACTCTGAATACATCGAGACATCACTGGAGTATTTAGAGCAGAAAGGTAACATGATCTGACTGGCCTTTTTACAGGACAACTCTGGCTGCCATGTGGGGAGACTCAGGTAAACTAAGAGCAAAAACACACAGGCCACACAGCGGCTCCCACAGAAATGCAGCTGGCAGGTACTCATGGCCTCCTCTGGAATAGAAACAGTAGAACTAAGGAAAAATGATGATACTCTGGATATATTCTAAAAGATGTTCCTAATTAAGTAGAAACAGTGAGAAAGCAAGAGAGGAGTCCATAATAATATTAAATGATGTTTCCTAATGTGAAATAATGTCATTTACCAGAACTGAGAAGACTGAAACAGGAAAAGGTTTAGAAAGGTTTGTCAGAAAGGTAATTTTTCTTGAGATGCCCAGTAGACATCACATAAAAGATGTTAAGTAGGCATTAGAATTTATGCATCTGGAGTTCAGAGAAGAACTCCATGGTCAGGAGATGTGACATTACATCCAATTCATATGCAGAGAGAGAGTCAGCAGGCTGGGTGAGAACATCAGGAAATGACAGGGGATGGAGAAGACAGGGAGTTCCAGAGCTGTTTCTGAGGGCATTCCACAAGTCCAAAGTTGGGACAAGAACACTAAGGCACATGCAGCAAGAGAAGTGGAAAAAAACTGAGGAAGAAAGATAAGCTGAAAACCAAATAAAGAGATTTATGTTTCCAGCAAGAAGGAGGGAGGAGCTATAACAAATGATGCAAGTACATCCAATCTGATTAGAACTCAATCACTGGAGTTAGCCAGGTGAAGCCACTGAGCATTCACTGGAGGCAGCTGACACAATTGTACATTGTTCCAAGTTTCACTCAGAAATAAAATTATTTATTAATGGTGACATTTAATGAGAGCTCGTTAAACACTATGAACTAGCTCCAACACTGAGTGTTTTCTTAGCTCCCAAGAGGATGAGAGCACAAATGAAAACGTTCCGCAGTGGTATTTCTATTTGTTTGTCTACTAAATGACAGGCTGATGAGAAGTTAGTGTGACTGGAATTGTAAGATAGATATGTATCTGCTAAATATATTCTGAAACAGCAGAATGTTTATAGTTCTTTGTGCAGGGAATCTTGAAGAGACTGGGAGGATTTCCAGAGTGACAGAATGGAATACTGTTTCATCCTCATCGTCTATTTTTTCGTTTTTTGCCTAATTGTTATCATTAAAGAAGAAATTCTTAATAATAAAATTATAAACATAAAAAAATTAAATGAATGCATATGTTTCCAGTACTACACTATGTAGTATACATGAATTACTTATATTAAAAATTGTCTTTGAAAGGTATTAATATATATGGTATTATATTTATGGTAGAATTCATGTAAATGATAGTAAATATGATATACCTTGTAAGTCCATCATTGTATATCATTTTACAATGCATATTCTTTGCAAAAACTTTGTATCTATCATTTTGACCTTATACTTTCCTGGGTAAATTTTTAGGCCTATACAGAATATTGTAAGATAAGAATTTACAAGGCCATGTTGGTATTTCAGTATATGTAAACACTACAAAAATACTTGTTTCTTTCCAAAATATATCTTAACAGGGGAAGTTCAGTATTTCAAATACAAACAAGTTAACACTTCAAGCTATAAATTCACACATTTTGCATAAAAGAAAATTGACAAGAGGAAGAGGATCAAAGCACGAGAGGTACAGAAATTGCTGGTCCATCTTTTTTCTAGTCAAACAGTTATTCCTAGAGAAAAAGCATAATTAAGCATTTAGATAAATTTGGAATCAAATATACGATTGTGAAGTCTGAGATACTGTTGCAAGATGGAGACTCTTTCTAATACCTGATTAGATTGGTGTTCCTAGACTCTAGGCCTGCTGGAGATGTGGTATTGATGAGGATACATTCTGTCTATTCAACACTATGATTCCAACTGAGCTCTTATTGCCTCTTCTCCTAGGTGAGATTCCCACAGCCATGGAGGGAAGCAACCACACTGTGACTGAGTTCATCCTTCTGGGCTTCACCACAGATCCCGTGATGCAGATGGTCCTGTTTGGAGTATTCCTTGGGGTGTACTCACTGACCCTGCTTGGAAATAGCACCCTCATAGTGTTGATCTGTAATGACTCCCGTCTCCACACACCCATGTATTTTTTCATCGGAAATCTGTCTTTTCTGGATCTCTG